AGAAACCCGAATCCCAGACTGAGCAGCTCTCTGTGTCGTTTTTACAGCCAAAGTCGGGAAGACTTCCTTGATCATGTCGCTGGTCAGTGAGGAATTCCCAGATGAGGTATGTGTGTTTCCCCTACCTGGTCATTTTTAAGGCCTGTTTTACTTTATCTTTAAAGCCCGGAGTTTCTGGGCTTGTTTTTGTCTTCTCTTCTGTCGGCAGTGTCCGTTTCAGGTAGTCAGTTATTAACTGGCTCATAATTAATGTCTCTCCTCAGATTGTACTCAGGTTGCTGGTATTTGCACATAGTAGTAATACATTCAGTGGAGGAAGGGAGCGTGGACTGCACAGCTTCAACACAGGGCTGTGCTCTGGAGCGTCAGACACGGCTCCTTGCCTTGTGCAATAAATACTTCCACGCATCCTTATGTCTTGTATTGAAATTGTTTCCTAAGGTTCCTCTGCGTGCTGAGGAAATCACCATTCCTGCTGATGTCACTCCGGAGAGGGTCCCTACACACATAGTTGATTATTCAGGTAATTAATCGTGAAGTTGATGAGTGTAATCTGTCTATACGTGGTGGAGAAGCAACGTTCATTAATGTCCAGATGTTTCTCGTCCTGAACACATTGCAAGTTCAGCTTTAACAGACTTTTCACAGTCTGTTGTTTTGTCCTGAGAACGTCATGAGGATAGTTTGTCGATATTGTGAAAGGGAGGCATGGTTGGTCACTGCTGCTGCCCTGCAGCTCTTGGGTCCTGGGTTCGATTGAGAATTGAGGAGATATTCTGTGGGGAGTTTGCATGCTTCCCGGACCTTGCTTGTGTGTTTTTTTTGTTGTCGTGTTTCGGCTTCCTTCCACTTTCAAAAGGCATGCTGACCTGGTTTCATGGTGTCTCTAAATCCCCGTGTGTGTCCTGTGATGGAGAGTCCCGTACAGGGTGCAGTCCTGCCTGGTCTCTTGTCATCCTGCTGGGAGCGCTCTGACTCCCAGCTACTCTGTTCCCTGCAGGGATGTGCGAAGACACCTACTGTGATGCTCTTTCTCTCTCTCGTGTTTTACAGAAGCAGAGCAGACAGACGAACAGTTATATCAAGAAATATCAAAGGTGAGTTTTGGGATTGCCCTTTCAACAAAAAGGTGTCACTTTAGTTATAATGTAAAAACATCTTTACACGTGCTTTTTTGAGGTCAGATTTATATTTTGGTTTCAACAAAATTAAACATTCAGAACCAAGTAAGCAAGAACAGCACAACAAGTTTAATTTCTGCATGCTTTGTATCTCTAAGAGCCTCTGAATTTTTCCTGTTTTTGCAGGCTAACGTTATTTGCATAGTGTATTCAGTCAACAATAAAAACTCCATTGAGAAGGTGAGTTTGACTGCAGTTTTTTTACTTGGTGCTGCAAATGTTGGTTGTTATATGGGGTTTATGAGTTCATATACATTAAAACAGCTTGAGCTGAATGTTCCTGAGTTTTTTGTTGTACTTGTTTATATATTTGTTTGGTCCTCAAAACAAATCTACACTTTTTCATTGAGGTGTGTGGCTTGGGTATCCATCGTTTTTTAAATGGCTGCCGGTGCGTGGAAGTTGGCGTTGTTCACGTGTGTTCTGCTTTCTGCCCTCCTCCAGGTGACGAGCCGGTGGATCCCTCTCATCAACGACAGGACAGACAAGGACAGCAGGTGTGGAAGCCGGCTCTGTGGTTAGCGGGGTTGTGAGCAGCTCGGTGGCGGGGGGTTGTGTGGGATTTAATGTTGGGATTTATTGTCTGTTAAGTGAGCAGCTTGGATGTTTAGAAATCTGTTTATTACCTGTAAGCTAAGGAGCAGAACGCCAGGGGAGTGTACAGCTGTGGTTTTCAGTGGTCAGTATTATAAAGCTATTCTGGGAGCCTTTAAGCCAATAGTGCAGTGCACAGAAGATGCACTAGTAGGTGATTTAGAATGGCCAGCTACTGAAAGAGGCCAATTAAATGACTATTTTTCATTCTGGCTGGGGAGTGTGGAGAGAAGTTATGCGCCATTTTTCCAATGTTATTTTATTGTGCCTTTGTGACCATCAGATTTCCTCCTCTCCTGCAGAATGAGTCTGTGTTTTCACTCTTGCCTGCGATCAGTCAGTACGGAGACATGCCTCTGCTCTTCAGGCCCCTCTGTGTGAGTGTGTCCCTGACGAGCAGAGGAGGAGGCTGGAGGACTGTGGGGCTGTGGAGCCCTTTCCTCCCCCCGAATCGGAGCTGCCTGCTGATTTCTGCTGTGTGTCCTGAAACAGGGTCCCCCTCATCCTGGTGGGAAACAAGTCTGACCTGGTGGAACACAGCAGCATGGAGACTATCCTTCCCATCATGAACCAGTACACCGAGATCGAGACCTGTGTGGAGGTGAGCGCTCCCTACAGGCGGGATTCCCTCGCTGCAGCCTGACCAGCAAAGGTGCAATGCCCTACTGGGTTCTGCAGAAGCAGACTGAAAGTAAAGACGTGAATGTATCCCCTCTGCAGATTGCAGACTGGGTCAGAGTAAGGTGGCAGTCATGTGGCGTTCAGCCTGCGTGGCCCAGACGGCCAAGCCAAGGCAGTGTTCTCTGCAGCCGAGTTTCATCGCGGTTTCCACTGTTTCTCTTTTGAGAGGGAAATGTGTTCCAGGAGCTGCGCACACCGGACTCCGGCGCAGGGCACTTTTTCGGTCTGTAGACTTGACATTGCGCAGAGCAAAGCAGCTTTTTAATATTCCCTCTCCTCAAGGCCCCTAATGGAAAGCGAAGTTTTTGTTTTTGCAGTGTTCAGCAAAAAACCTGAAGAACATCTCCGAGCTGTTCTATTACGCACAGAAGGCTGTTCTGCACCCCACTGGCCCCCTGTACTGCCCAGAGGAGAAGGAGGTAGGACCAGCGGGACTGGGGGTGGGGGTTCGAGGAACCCCAGCTTTCACTCGAACCCACAAACTCACCAAAGGTGACGGAGATAAATGATTTGATAGCTCTGATAGCGTTGGTAAATTGGTATGAAACGGTTCCCTTCCCTGCTCTCTAAGGGGTTTCACTTAAAAAAGATCGAGGGAAGGGGGTGTGTTGGGAGCTTGACAGTCTTGACTCGCACCGTTGACGTGACCTTTTCCCCGCCTGCCCTCGCAGATGAAGCCGGCCTGCATCAAAGCTCTGACCCGCATCTTCAAGGTCACGGACCTGGACAACGACGGCATTCTCAACGACACCGAGCTCAACTTCTTCCAGGTGGGAAGGTGCCCTTGGCAATGGGCTGATTGGCTTCTGCTTCTGCATTCGTGTGAACGCCTGCTTGTGCTGACCCGTGTGCCGCTGTCTCCGCCTTTCAGAGGACGTGTTTCAACACCCCCCTGGCGCCGCAGGCCCTGGAGGACGTGAAGAACGTGGTGAGGAAGAACATGGCCGACGGCGTCCGCAACAATGGGCTCACGCTCAAGGGCAAGTACAGGGCGAGGCGCAGGCCCCTGGGAGCTCGTTCTCGCAGCTCGGCAGGACGGCTTTTCCTTTCCGATTTTGTTGCTCGGTGTCCACTGGAGCTCCTGCAGGTACCGCTGGAGCTGGGCAGCTTTGTCCACGCTCCTCCCCCCCGCGGCCCGGTCCCGCTCGGTGCGGTCCGGCCCACTCGCTCGCTGACCGGGGTGCTGTTCTCTGCTGCAGGGTTCCTGTTCCTGCACACGCTGTTCATTCAGAGGGGGAGGCACGAGACCACCTGGACCGTTCTGCGGCGCTTTGGATACGACGACGACCTGGAGCTCACGCAGGACTACCTGTTCCCCCCGTGCGTGGCCCCTCCCCCCGGCCGCCGGCCGCCGTGAGCTGTGCGGGGGGCCTGCTGTGGCTGGCAGAAAGCCTCCACAGGCTCCCTGGACAGCGGGCCTCGGCTAAATCAGTATTTAATCCCTTAATCCTTAGCGTGTTCTCAGTCTTGCGCTTCGTGTGTTGTGGCAGGTTAAAGATACCACCGGACTGCACCACCGAGCTGAACCACAATGCGTACCTCTTCCTGCAGAGTGTGTTCGACAAGCACGACCTGGTACGTCCGGTGGGCGCCGTCTGGTCATGTGTGCTGTTGTGTTTCCCTCCTCTGTTTTGTTATTCCTTGTTCCGAGCTTTAAGGGAGCCAGAGCCGGTGGGGGTTGGGGGTGGGGTCGGAGTGCGGTGCTGGTCTCGTACTGAAAGTCTCTGGCGGCTGTGTTTCAGGACAGGGACTGCGCCCTCTCTCCCGATGAGCTGAAGGACTTATTCAAAGTGTTTCCATACATGCCCTGGGGCCCCGACGTCAACAACACCGTGTGCACCAATGACCAGGGCTGGATCACCTACCAGGGATACCTGTCGCAGTGGACGTGAGTCCGGCCGCTGCTTGCACCCTCGTTGCCCACCTCCGGCGCTGAGGGGTCACTTCCAAAGGAACATACCGTCATCAGAGAGTTAAACAGGAGGACCAGTGTATCCAGCGGTCATGTTGCACAACCTATAAGGATTTGTATGTCCACTCCAGTGATATCCAGGGTGTGTGGGGATGCGTTGCGATTGGTTTTCTGTGTCCTGGCAGGTTGACGACATACCTGGACGTGCAGCGCTGTCTGGAGTACATGGGCTACCTAGGCTACTCCATCATCTGCGAGCAGGAGTCCCAGGCCGCCGCCATCACAGGTGAGCGGGTGGCCAGGTGTGACTGAGCCAGCGGCGACGTGCTCATGCAGGGGCTTTGGTGGGTGTGAGTACCAGTTTTAGCAGGGATGATTCGGAAGTCTCCAGAGGGGTCTTTAATTTAAATGGGAGAGAAAAGAAGATGGCACGGATATTTATGTCAAGCACGCTTTAAGAGGGCAGCTCCGTACATGGTGGCGCTGCTGCAGTCCACCGAGCCGGGGCGTCCCTGCTCGAGAGGGGCAGGAGCACGTGGACGTGGGGGCGCCTGCTTAAAGCTGTGCGGACTGACATGTGTGTGTGTGCGCGCCTCTCCTCCCGCAGTGACTCGCGACAAGAAGATCGACCTGCAGAAGAGGCAGACGCAGCGCAACGTCTTCCGGTGCAACGTCATCGGGATGAGGGGCTGTGGGAAGAGTGGGTTCCTGCAGGCCTTCCTGGGCCGGAACCTCATGGTGAGCTCACCGCCCCCGCCCCCCGTCGGCGAGGAGCAGAGAGGGCTGGTGTGGGGGGAGAGAGACCGCCTGACCCACTCTTCTCATCCACAGCGCCAGAGGCAGATCAGAGAGGACCACAAGTCTTACTACGCCATCAGTACCACCTACGTGTACGGCCAGGAGAAATACCTGCTGGTGAGTTGATGCTGGCACGGCCTTAATCGGGAAACGCCCTCCGGCAATTACTCGCCCGTTCTCCGGGGTGACTCAAAGCAAAGCACCCCTCTGTCAAAGTCACCCCTCTGTCAGTAACTCCAGGTTGTGCAGGGCCACAGTTCCCAGGTCCTATAGGCAGTTTCTAATAACCCGATAATCATCAATGAGTGAAGACATGGGAACAGTGGAAATAAAGACCAGTTAGGTGAGCAGTTGATTTGAGTAAAGACATTGACGTTCTGAAATAAATAAGTCAGTGACAATTTAAAAGCAAGAAAATCATGGTAAATGGAAACAAAACTGTTCTATTGTTCATTCATCTCAAGAAGCTGTTGTATCCTGTAACTATCTTGAGATCCCAGTTTGAGGTGGCCTTGTGTCAGGGACCCTGACCTTCAGCGCATAACTGTGTTAAGGGTCCAGGGTGAGGTGAAGGCTTCAGCCCTGCAGGACCAGGTGTGAATCTAAGGGAGCCATGCCAACCTCAGTCTGACGTGTGCAGCTTAACTTGCGGAGCTTGAGTAGTAACACCACAAGTGTTCAGGTATTGGGCTTCACCGCTCGACTCTGCACTGGTTATCCAGTGTCCAGCATGTTCACCTGGTCACCTTCAGAAAAATCACAGGCTCTTGACTTCACTCCTGGCTGTTATCTTTTGTGGGGGTTTTTTCCCTCCTCATCACCAGAAGCAAATTGTGAACCTATGTAATGATGTGGACATTGTGAGTGATGTAATCTACCACAAAAGTCTGGGAAAAAAATTATCCAGCTGCACACAGGTTCCCAGTTCTTCCACAGCAGAAAGCTTGTAAGAAAAGGAAATTGCTTTGCTCCTGATGTCTGTCCATCCTTTCCAGCTGCATGAGGTGTTCACCGACTCCGAGTTCCTCTCGGACACTGACCTCTCCTGTGACGTCGTCTGCCTTGTCTACGACTCCAGCAACCCCAGGTCCTTTGAGTTCTGTGCCAAGATCTTTAAGGTACTCCCTCTCCCCCTGCCCGTGGGGTTTTTGACGTGGGAGCAGGAGACAAGCTGCCCAGCCCTGTTGTTGATGCCATTAACCTGGCTGCTTTTGAGACGCAGCCGGATGGGATCCTGGGATCAATAAGCTACTAAATAGCAAACTTGTTTCCTCTCCTGTGGAATCTTTCTTGCATTTCTATGTTCTGACATTGCACGCTAAATGTCCAGTCGTTTGTGTTTTAAGTGCACGCTGAATGTTCTCTTGCACAAATGTTGGTTGTGTTGTAAGTGCACGCTGAATCTGTGCTGCTCGTGCACCAGTGCAGCTCTGGTGAAACGACCCCCCCTGCGTGTTTTGGTTTGCCCACAGCAACACTTCATGGACAGCAAGACGCCATGCATGATCGTCGCCGCCAAGTCCGACCTGCACGAGGTCAAGCAGCAGTGCGGCACCTCCCCGCCGGACTTCTGCAAGAAGCACAAGATCCCGCCTCCCCAGGCCTTCACCTGCAACACCGTGGACGTCCCCAGCAAAGAGCTCTACGTCAAGCTGACCACCATGGCCATGTACCCGTGAGTACAGCGCCCCCTGCTGCCCCCTCGCACCCTGAGCCCTGCACGCCCCCCAGTCTGCCACCTGCTTCTGCCATCACTCTTTTCTTCTGTACCGAACAAAGACATTTTGCAGGGCGTCTTCTAAATCCTTAAATCTGCAGGTGGAGGCCAGGTAGCCAGGCGAGTTTTCAAATGGAAGAAAATGCACAATCAAGGATAAATACTTGAATGTTATCACTGATATCTTCTGGGTAACTATTGCATAAAGCTAAAGCCATGGTATCTTACACATACTTATGACTTATGTTTCCATTGTAATGCTTCTGTGTGAACGTCACACATCTTCATGCTTAAATAAGTTATTTTTAAGTAACTTCTGAGCTGTATTTGGAAAGGAAAAGGAAATCCACTTTTCCTCCACCTGTGAACCTGTAATGATCCGGTAAGCACGGGTTTTCCTCCAACCTTAAATGGCCCAAACTTCAGAGCAACAGTAGTGGACCTGTACAAAATCTGACAGCAGGTGTGGAGTGATCGTGTACAGTGGGCGCCCCAGTTCTCGGTACTGCCCGGGCTCGGCACCGAGAAGCCCGTGACCTGGGCTTCGGGGGTC